CAACACTGATCAGGACAAAGCAGCCTGTGAGGCCATCTCTGAATCAGACACCAACTCAGCTCATCGGGCCCGGAAGATTCGCCCCGAGAACTGTGCCGACCGTATGACAGATGAGCCCTGGAAGGCGTTCATGGAGGTGAAGCACTATGGGCAGAGAGGGAGGGAGGCGGGGGACACCAAGTGAGTGAAGTATGCCACCCTGGTTGATGATCTCACACACAAGTGAAGATTGCTGAATGAGTGCATGTTTGTTGGGTCTATTTGTACTCAAGATGGAAAAATAGAATTAAAACCAATACTAAATAAACAGCAGACAAGGGTAGCTATATAGATAGCTACAGCATTATGAATCCAATCCAGAGTGTTGCAATGCAGACTCACTACCTATCGTTGTTGGGAAGAAAATCCCTCAGCACGACAGGTGGGACAGAGCAGCTGGCCAATCAATGAACAGCAGCCTCCTCCACACATGTACACAAGGACACCGAACAAAACCGAAACCACAAGAGCTATCACCGTTCCACACCCACCTGGAGGGTTACGATCAGAATCAACACAAGAAAATCGTGGGGGTGGGGGACCTTACCCATGTCGCTGGCCAGAGTGGAAATGAGCAGCTGCTTCACAAGACCACTTGTGTTGGCAGCTCCTCAGGACGTTAAACAGAGAGTTGGCCACGGCCCAGCAATTCCACTCCTAGCACACACCCAGAGAATTGAAAACATAGGTCCACACGGACCTCTGTACACGAGCGCTCACAGCAGCATTATTCCCAAGAGCCCACAGGTGGGAACAAACCCAGATGCCCACCATCTGACAAATACAAGGTTGCATGTGCATCCACAGAAGGGAACCCGGCAACAAAAAGGGGCAAAGTACAGACACAAGCTATCCTGCACGATGAACCTCAAATCTATTTCCCTCGGTGAAACAAGCCAGTCACAAAGGGCGAAATACTGTGCTATTCAATTTAGAGAGTGGCTCTCATGGGCACCTCTATGGAGAAGGAAGGTGGACTGGAGGTTGCTGGGCTCTGGGAATGTGGGCCATTGGGGAGTGGCTGCCAGTGAGCGTGGGGTTCCCTTGGGGAAGAATGAAAATGCTTGGAATAGTGGTTGTGAGTGCACAATCCTGTGAATATATGGAAGACCACTCAGCTGTACAGTTTTTAAAGGTGAATTTTAGGGCCTGAGAATTATACCTCAATAAAGCTCTCATCCAAAAGTAAACAAAACAACAAAAAACCCTCCAAGTTGAAGCTACAAAAGGACCACCGTAGCTGTCCATTCTGTGTGCTTCCACGTGTCACCCAGCATGTGGATGTTTTATCGATTTGCCCTGGTGGCATAGTGGGTTAGGAGTTAGGCTGTTAACCGTGAGGTTAGCATTTCAAAAACAACAGCCACTCTGCAGGACAAAGATGAGGCTTTCTACTCCCGTTAAAGAGTTACAGTCTCAGAAACCCACCGGGGCAGTTCTACCCTGTCCTATGAGTTGGAATCTTCTTAGCACAGTGAGCTTGCTAAGTTTATACCTCTTAAAACCCTGTGGTACGGGCATCAGAGACGGAGCCTGGGGCTCCGTGGTTAGCGCTGCCTGTGTTGCTCAGGTTCATCCCGTCAGTGTGATTAGACAGACACTCCGGCCTCCTTTCTCCTCCTCCAACGTCTACGGTCTACCCCTCTGCAAAACTGCCCTCTCCCCAGGCCTGGCTAGCGGCCCCGTCCTTCGTCCCCCTGCTGGGTGCTCACCGAGGAGGTGCTTGATGATGGCTTGGTTGTGCTCCCAGAGGTTGCTAAAGGTCCCCCATCGGGAGTGGCCGTCTGGCACGGGGTTGGCTTTGACCCAGCCGCCGCAGGCGTAGCTGAAGAAGTCCTGGCAGGGGTCCACCGTGGGGTCCATGGAGTTCAGGATGGAGCTGGTCACCGAGACGCAGGCCTCACTCAGGCACATCGAGGGGGACCCTGCCAGGGACCAGGGGTAAGAGGCTAGTTAGTGAAGGGCGGGCAGGGAGAGAGAGCCCAGTGTAGCTCTTCTGGGCCCAGGGATGACTAGTCTCTCCCGTCCCTTGCGTAGAAATGACTTTAATAGATCTGTAACCTCCTGGCTTGTAAAATCAGACCTGTTGAATTGACTCCTGATTGACATTGAAGATCCTTTCTGTACATTCAAAAACCATCCAGATTCAAAGGGATTCGCTTAGTCTTTCATCCCCCGCTACTTCCCGTATTTCCACAAATACTCGTTGAATTTTAAAACACTGCCTCTGGCATTCAGCAAATCTATCCACTCATTCACCCATCTGTTTCTTCAACAAAGTGGCTATTGAGTACCCTTGCTGGGCATGGGCCACGCGTGCGCATGCACTCTAAGAGCCAGCGTCCTTCCTTCAAGAGCTGTTAACTTAGTTGGGATACAAACATTAGGTAAGAAAAGTCGAGAGAGCTGCAGGAGAAGATCCTTCATTCTAAAAGGGCTGACTTTGTGACGATGAGATGGCACAGGTCGTAGGGAGGACACTCAGGATTCGGAACGGGCACTCCGAATCATCCACAGGCCAGAAGAGTGACCTCACTGAATCTCAGAAACCCAACCAGCCTGGGAGCCCTGTACACACGAGGAGTCCCGTACACACGAGGAGCCCTGTATACACGAGGAGCCCCGTACACACGAGGAGCCCTGTACACACGAGGAGAGGAAGGCAGAGAACCTGGCTGTGGCCAGCGAGGGAGGCCAGTCCTGCTCTTCTTCATGGTGCCGCCTCCTCCCCCGCATGACAGACAGGTAGGGCAAAGGTCCTTTGGGGGCACCTGCCATCTTCTCCTGTGATGACTGCCCACATTACCAGTGGCAGGCCAGCCGCCTCCTAGCTAGGGCCTAAGCAGGACAGTAGTCAGCCCGGCTGGGCAGGGGACAGGGCTATCCCCCTATATATGCTCCCATGAGCATATGAAATCATTTATGTCATAATTTTCAAAACATTCTCCCTCTACTTGAGCTTCTCATTTTTCTCTCCCCCTCCCTCCCCCATGAACCCTTGATAATTTATAAATTATTACTTTCATGTCTCATTGGTATTATAAAACACCGGTGAGCAGAGGGCAGCT